CACACTTATGCTAGGGATAAGTACAGGAGGTCCCGTAGATTTCGGAGGTCTCCTCACTGAAACACACGTTCATGATGTCTGGATCAGTCCCATGCTGGTAATCCCAGCTATCAGTCTGGGGACCAAGAGCTACCCGTTGTTCAGGTCAGCTGTTTTTGTGGGTTTCGACAGCCTGGTCTGAACCCCTTTGCTCATCACTCGTCCTTCTCTGCAACTGGATTCCAGTTCAGTTCAGTGATTAGTTGTGGGTGTTCCTTGGCTGCATTCTTAATTTCTGTGGTTGTACTGAAAGAAAAGCCAGTGCTAGAAGAACTAATCTTTTGGTTGCATCACCCATTAGCTGTTTGTGGGAACATAGCATTGGGGAAGGTGAGGAAAGCAGAAGTGAGGACAGAGAAACGATTGCTGGTAACCAACAATGAACATCATAGATTTAGTAAAAGACCAAAATAGTAGAATGACTTTAGAGAGGCAGCTTGCCAGTGTCTTTCTATGATGTGGAGTGGGACAGTCATGCACTCAACTATTTACTTGGGACAAAATGGAACATTCTATAAAACTGGGCATCGCTGGCCATGGTGGTGCACCTTTTATCCCAGCTCTCAGGAGACAGAGGCAGACAGATCTCTGTGAGTTCAAGGCCACCCCAGTCTGCACAGGCCAACCAGGGATATATAGTAAGACCCTGTTAAAACACAACAAACAAAACACAACTGGGAATGTTTTGCAGGTGATAAAAATACCCATAAGGAAAGAAACCAGGCTCCTCCCAAGTGAAGAGAAAGATGAGGGCTCCTTTCTGCCACTTCTGGGTTTTTCTATGATGATAAAGTACCTAGAAAAATTTTATAAATCCCTCTTGGCATTCCTTGAGCTTATCATAGATTCTCTAGATTAGAGAACATAATTGTAGAGTTGAGAGGATGGGCAAGAAGAGAGCACATGAGGAAAGGAACTAAGGATTACATGAGGAAGTCTTAAGTAAGATCTTCAGGCACATTTTGTTCACTTGTTTGGCTGTGGATTCCTTAAGGATCTGCTCTCGGGGCTATGGTCTGGTTATAGGAGCTGGAGTGATGGAGGATCGAAGCGAGACAGATAATATGAGTAAACAAGCAAGCAAAAGAGCCTACAATGGTAAAATAGAAGTGATAATTAAGCGTGTAAGAACATGACAGTGTAAAGAGGCCAAGAACCAACTTAGAACACACAGATAGCTTCCCAGGTAGACTTGCTGCATAGAGTCTGAGTCTGCAATCCCAGCACCCATGAAAAAGCCAGACCCACTAGCATACACCTGTAACTCAATCATTAGAGGAGGGATGGTGGAGATGGAAGGGGCCTAGGGGCTCACTGACCACCCAGTCTAGCCAAAACTGTGAACCACAGGTTCAGTGAGACCCTGTCTTATAAAATAAGGTAGAGAACAATAGAGGACAGCCAACATCAACCTCTGGCCTATGCCCCCTCCCCACAGGCACACACATTGAACATATATACATACACATATACAAAGAAAGAGAAGAGAAAGAAGGGGGAATGAGGGAGGAGAGAAAGGAAGAAAGAAAAGGAAAGGGTAGTGAGACACAAGGGCCTATCATAAAAAGAAGCTGTATTTAGATAGTTTTGTGCTTATAGTATGATAATGTTCTCACATTTAAATGAAGTTCCTTTTGAGAATTTTAGTTTGGCTTAGTTGATGGTAGAAAATACATGTTAATGATGGGAACATTTAATGATTTCATAGCATGTGCTGGGGATCTTGGCCCTCTCATCTTTCAGTCAAAGGTGAAAAGTAAGGCAAGCAGGATATCTGAGAAGGGTGGATCTTAGTGGGAGCAAGGAGACAGACAGGTGTCCTAAATAGATAGAATTGGTGTCCTGAAACTACAAATAGAAGCTGGAGGGACAGTTCAGCAATTAGTAGTGTTCCCTGCATACATGGTGAGCAACCTACAACCACCTCAAACTCTGGCTACTGGGGTCAAACACCGCCACACACACACACACACACACACACACACACACACACACATAAATTATCTTTTAAAATATAAACGTAGGATATTGCAATTCAGTGGCTCGGAAGTCTAAAGGGGGCTAAAAGTTCCAACAGAATTGTGGTTTTTGTTGGAGGTCTGATGGGAAATAGGGTTCCTTTCAAACTTGTAGACATTATCCACAGAGGAATTCACAAAGGTTCTTGATTCTCTCTCTCCATCTTTAAGGCTGACAGCATTGCAACTCCCCATGCCTTCCTTGTATTGTCACATCCCTTCTGCCTTCCTTCCCTACTCTTAAGGGGGAAGAGTCTTTTCATATGTAGCCAGAAAATACAGAATGGTCTCTTTATTTTGAAGTCAGTGGTTAATAACTGCATTTCCCTTTGCACGTAGCCTAGCAGATCCACAGGCTCTGGCATTATGATGCCTGCCACAAAAATAGGAACTGAACATGGAAGACTATAAAAAACCGTTTCCTTCCTATACTTCCCTGCTACCATTTGAGGGTATTTTCTTGTATATTATGTATTTAAATTGGCCATAAGAACAAAATATGAAGTAGCTGAAATATATAAGAATTTACAGATTTAGGTGATCCTGGACAGAGCACTAATCCCTGGCTGCCTCCCCTGTAAGGTGGAGGCTGATGGCTTATCAGATCCCAGTGTTCCTATCTGACCTTTGAAGTAACTATACCTTTGCAGTTATATTCTCAAGTATGATGCCTCCTTGACACAGGATAGGCTGCTCAACACCCCCAAACCCCAGAATCCTTGCTGATACTTGCCTGGTTAAGTCACCATTGTATTTAACCTATGCTACCAACATTGTTAAGAGGTTTTAATCTGTTAACACATGTATTTTGTGAATGTACAAAACATAAAAATAAACTTAGCTTTAACACAAAACAAAAACCAAAAAATGATTCCCTGGGGGAAGAAGGATCAGTAGTTAAGAGAACTTGCTGTTCTTCCAGAGGACTCCAGTTCTCAGCACTTTCTCAGAACTCACATAGGGCAGCTCACAACTGCCTGTAACTCTCTGATCTCTCTCCTGGCCTCTGTGGGTACCTGCATATATATAACATACACAAACACACACATGCACACATATGCATACACTCACACACACATGTAAATAAATATAAAAAATTACCTCCTGACTTTTGCTTTATTGCTGGTGTATACATTGCATGTCACAGAATGTCCTTGTTGCTTATCACAGAATGTGCCCTCTGCCTCATAACATTTAAACACCTCATATTTTATACTATTTTGAAATTCCCAAAATGTCTTCATATCTGTTACCTCATGTGATTTTCTATAACAATGTTCTGAGATTGCTAACAGGAAATGGGTGTATGCACAGGGATAAGTAACCAGTTATATATAGCTCTGTATATATATATATTTAATATGCATCCTTTATCAGTGGTAAAAGAGATGCCAGGTAATTTGTTGGGAGACTGACCTCAAGCACATGAATGAAATGCACTAACTCACACACTGCACATGTGCTTACAAAGTCCTCAAATGTCTTTTACGTTTTAAATTGGACACCATCTTAACTAGAAATCTCATGCTGCCTTTTATCTTTACCGTTGAAAGAAGATGTAGTCATAGGATAGTCTCAGGCATGTTTTTAAATCACCCTTTGTTCCATAAGCATTTCCATTTTCTTCTTAAGAGTGTCAATATATGTTATTTGCTAATACGTCTTTTAAGACATTTACTTGAATGTTGGTAGATGTGTGTATATAGACTGATTGTAGATAGGCAAAATTCTACGAGTTACAATATCATAGGCATGCATATAAATAACACTGAAATTGTATTCACCTCTGTTCACTTTCATATGTGGAGTGGTTCTCTAAATTATTAGAGAAATTAATAGTCATTTTCTTAAATGACTCCAACCACCCATTGGTTCTTCTGTCTTTATAATTCTTAAGTTCATATGCATAAAACAAAGAGACTTTCTGGTGAATTATAAACTAATTTGCTTTTCAGATGTTTTCTGGTGTTTAAACACTGACATCAAAGCAAAGAGGCAATTATCAGTGTTCATTTGGTCTGGAGCCCCGTTGCCTGAATTGCTATAGTTTTCCTTATGCTAAAAAAGAAATGTGTGACATATCTTGCATTCACCTATGAAGTCCTTTTTTTCTATAGCAGTTATACACAGACATGTGTTTGGGCTCAGTAACCACAAGGAGGCATGGAAGCCTCTCTCAAAATGTGCATAGTGATTTTAGTTTCTAAGAGCGTTCTACCTTTGGTTCTCGAATTCCTAGCAAGCAACTGTGACTGCTTGTGAGGATGCATGCCTTTGAAGTTCATGTTCAGACCCACTTTTTTAAGGCCTGATGTTAGAGCAGAAGCTATTATTTCTTTTGTAGGCATTTCTGGACAGTGGCAACACATGTATTTTCCCTCTGCTCCAGTAAAAACAAAAGGAACCACAGGATGTTGTTAGTACCAACAGAATAAATGCCTTGACCCATCTTGCACTTTGAAGGTTAAAAGTTCTGACTGGGAGCAGAGAGTGGTGCTTTGATATGTGAGTTCTTAAATACATGTTTTTGACAGCAAGGGGGTTGACTGAACCCTGTGTAGAATGATTCTGGGAACCAACTTCAAAGTGCTGCATGATTTTAAAGCCAAAACAATCCCTTACTCCTGACCCTAATATTTTCACATGTCCTTCTGAACACTCATGTTCAATGTCAGGCATTTTCTCCGTGCATTTGTAATCTTAATTCTCGGGAGCTTTGTTGGTACTGAAAGAATAGGAACCTCTATTGCAGAGCATGCTGTGTAGCACATCTTCCAAGCTTAGTCCTTGAGAAACATAGACTGTGTTTTTAGGATTTTGTTGTTTATACAAGATACTGCAGAGGGAAAAAAATTGACACTAAAAATGTAGACTGAGACATTTTGAAATTCCTACGTGTGTTATATTGATGTGCTGTTTCTGTTTTGACATTTTGCCTTTTAGGCTATTCCCAGGCTGTGCGAAAACGCATCTCTGATTTTGACATACAGCAGAACATGCAGCTGGGGAGGCTGTGTGACATCCTAGGTACAGTAAATAGTTTTACATCAATTACTGTCTGTAACTTCTGGGTAGGTATGGGTAAAATATTTCCTTTCTTCTCTTCCTTCTCTACAAGGAAAGAACTTAGCTTTCTAACCTACTTGCAAGGTAATGATTATTTTGTTTTAAGTGTACAGTGAAGTCAGCTTGAATTTTAAAATGTTTGAGCAATTACTTGAATAGTTTTCTAAATTCTTTTTTGAAAAGCAGTTTCCCTATGATAGACTCAAATCATCTTGATTTATCAATGCCTTCCAGTGATCTGGGTCAAAACTAATTATCAATATTGTCTATAGTGTCTTCTGGGCATGGAGTAGAAAGAGTGAAGCACTGTATTTTCATAATAAGAACAAGAGGAAAGCAAGGGCAGATTTCAAGAAACATGGAGTGCCTTGTGGAGGGAGTTTAGAGATCCAGGCCTTAGGCAGATGGAAATGTCTTTGCAAAAGTCAAACTGGCACTGTTTTAGTCAGCCCTCAACCATACACTGGATCTTGCTAAGGCCAGGTTGCAAGCCTGGCTGAAAAAATATAGATTACAAAGCATATGTAATAACAAGAAGTCAGTTTATGAGGAACTGGCCTCCAATTAAGGGTTAAATAAAGATTAGATTTTAGAAGTTAATAAGAACTCCTTTGTTTTGCTAAAATATAATTGCTTTGGCCCTTATTTAAGCACTACAAGGAAGAATTTTATATTATCAATGGCCAACTTAGCTGGCTTCCTGGAATGACATACTTTACATGATTCATAGATATTTCAACATCATTATTATTTTATAAATGCCATTTGGTAACAAAAATACATCAGTACTAGAAATTTACAGTGTCCTAAAATAATAATAGCATAATTGCTTTAATCTGTTATCTAGGCACCAATGCTGTGTTTTAGCATTACACAACAACAAGCCCTTTAGTGATGCGAGATTGATTTGTTATAGCTGAGCTATTCAACTAAAAGCCTGACTGCCTGGAACCACTGAGGTGCAGCAGAGGGCAGGCTTTACCCTGATTTATTTGAATTAATTTTTTTCCTCAGCTTTTTATATACCCTTCTATATATAGTACAAGTCATCACAAAGGAGTATCTTTATAAAAATTCCTCATTATAGAAGAAAAAGTAGTGGGCTACTATTTTTAATAATCCAATAATTCAATCTGTACCTACAAAGAAAAATTTTGTAACTATGGTCATTTCTGAGAGATTGTGCCTTTTTCTGGTATGTTATCATTCTGATCCAACAATGTGACCACATAGCCTCTTCAAGAGGACAGCTTAGAGGTAGCTCGTGAAGGTAAAAGTGTTTTCTTGTGAAATAAAAATAGACAAAATGAGAAAAGATAAATAATTTGGGAGGAAGAATAAAACTTCTTTTATTCTGTTAATTACTAGTAAAGGGTATTGGTTTGCCTGCGTATTCAGTAGGGAAATAAAGATGATCTGATCACAGTAAGCCTTGCCCCTGGATATGGACTGTGATATTAGGATGGTCAGGTAGAGGCCCCACAACTAGTACTTTTCTCTGTTTGGAAAAGAGAGGGACTGATTTTGACTACTAATCAAAGAAAGTTTCAACTTTACAACAGCTCCTTTCCATAACTACCTGTCAATTAATTGTGTTTGCAGATTCACAGTGAACCCCCTCTCCACTGGATATTAGAGTTAGTGATATGTATTGCTCTGACAGAAATGAACAAGAAAAATGACATTATCAACTTGATTTCTTATTATGAAGCCTAGAGATCTCTTCCCAAGTAAAATTCATCTTCTGTTACTATAGCAATTTTTGTTGTTTATATTCTATTCTCTTATGCTTTTCTTAAAACACACACACACACACACACACACACACTACAACCACCACACACATTTGGTTTTTAGACTCATTAGTTTGATAAGACATTAGTTTCTTCCCCAAAACACAAGGCTAGCAATAACTAATGTGATCAGTCAACAATTGGATACAAGTTATTCAATTACTTTCTGTTCAGCTAATTTATTTTGATGTTTATATGGCAATCTAGTTTCAAAATAAAATCGGAGCCCTTAGCTATTTACATATCTGGAGCACCTCCTACCAGACTTTTCCTGGGCCATTTGAAAAGCCATTGTTTCCATAGGGAGAGACTTCTACCTGCCACATACTCACTAAGGGAGAAAAACATTGGATCATCTAAATCTCATTCTTCCAAACCCCGCTAACCATGAGTGCCTATTGAATAACTCCTATGTAGTCTGCACTGTACTGTGACCTGAAGGATATACAGAATTTAAGGAGCTTGGTGACTGCTGAGGGTGTAGCTGAGTTAGCAAGTGCTTGCCTAGCATGTATAAAGCCTTGGGTTTGATCCCCAGCACTGAATAAATAAACTTGAAGTGGCCATGCAAATTTACAACACCAGCACTTAGGAGGTGGAGATGGGAAGCTAGACTCTATTACATAGTCAGTTAAAGGTCAGCCTGAGCTGCATAAAGCCCCATCTCAGGGGAAAAGATAGGAAAAAGGAGCTTGGATTAATAGATTGAAAAAGTATCAGAGACTGCAGATGACACTACTTCATCATATTAAATAAAGGGATTGATCAAAAGGAGCCAGGTACAGAGGGCACGGCAGGAAGTCACCATTGGCTGTGCCATTTGGTCAACACTTTCTTTGTGCCAGATACAGTACCAAGAATACTTTTCCTTCCATTTAATACTCCAGAACTCTATACCTAGGTGATCAAACCCCACAGATGAAGAAACCAGTGCTTAGAAAAGTTAAATAATGTGCCCAGGGCCCATGTTCTGTGTACTCTGCCAAACCAAACAAACAGTCTGGCAACTTCCTCCTGACCTTGCCAGCCAGCCAAGGTGACACTTTGGGCCTCTCTCCCCTGAACTTCCCTGAGTACCTGTGTGTTTGAAATGGTTGCTCCCCAAAGGCATTTCTCAATCACTTTGACCCTAGATTTCCTGGGGTGTGGAGGCAAGTGTTTTGTTCCTATTTGTATCTAGATTAGTTATTTTGTGAATGAATTAATAGCTCCATCCGATGATAATTTCCATCCATATGCCCCTAAAATGTTTCGAAGCACAGAGTGAGTAATCTCATCTCGCTATTCCATTTGGACTAGATATTCAATTAAGGACGTTTTCTGTGTGTGCATTAAGAAAAGAACATATTGAGGAAGAAAGCGGTTGGGGCAGTGTTTTCTCTGGACTGGGAACCATTAAATGTGCTACTGAAGCAATATCCCTCACTGGGAGTGGAACTGGGACAGGGTGGTTTCCTTCAGCTTTCTCAAGTTCTGCTTTATAATTTGCTGATCTGAATGGAATGCATTCCCAGTGATGCTAAAGGGGATGGTTTAGATGCATTCCTGTGCATTATCTGAAAGTTTGCTTCCATGTTCCCTCGCAGTCTTCTGTGTTTTGTTGGTGGTAGTATCTCTTCTTTAGAGAAATGATTAAGTGCAGAAGGGCTGCTTTAGATAGCTGAGACAATGCAAAGCCAATCTAAATTAACTTTGGTGTGGCTTTTGGATATGCTCTTTGTTTTAAACTACTGTAGCATCAATTGGATGTCAGAGTTCATCATGTCATTTACCTTTATTTCAGTAATTAACATTGCGCCCGTTATTTCTTAGATGCCAATGTCAATGTCATCTACATCTGCTCCCATCCTATGAATGATGAGTTAAAGATGTACTACAAAAAACTCCTGAGTCTACAAGCAGCTGTCAAGTCGGGGTACTATGAGGATAGGAGTGACCTGCAGAACAGGTTCAGAATTATCACCCCTGAAGCTGTAAACATCTTCACTGTGAGTTTGTCTTCTAATTACTATGGCTTCAGGGATGCAGTAAAATTAAATTGGAAATTTTATAACTTGCAACGCTCTGGTACACATCAGTGAAATATTATTGCAAGTTTAACAGCTTTGCTGATTAGACTACTAGTTGGACTGTAGGAAATAAATACCACAGTTTAACTTTCAAACTTAGCTGAGCTGCCCCTGCCCAGTCTCTCTGTGGCTGAACCCTAATTGCAGCTACTGGGAGGTACAATCAAATAGGTAGATTTATAACATTCATCACTCCTTTTTCTTAATTTATGTGGAGTTCGCCAGAACAGTGAGAGGCCGGCCAGGCCTATGCATCCATAAAACTACTCAGGGAGAGAAAGTGGACCAGGGCCCCCAGTTTCTGACTTTCACACAGGTATTCCTTGTTACTCCATACTTTCATTCTTTTAGGGCCTGATGTTCCGCTTGCATCACATGGTTCTGTATAAACAAGGTTCACATTCTAATGTACTGATTTTTAATGGATAGAATGGACTCTTTTTGTTTTCTTTTTTAATTTGAATTAGAAACAAGCCTGTTTTAGATGTCAATAGAATGGACTCTTATGTCTGCACAAAATCTACTAAGAAATTTATGGAACCATGAGGGCAGAGTTCTAGTCAAAGACAGTACAACAGATGACTTTAAAGGGACTTCTCTTTCTCACAACACATTTTATTATCTAATGGGCTATCCAGTTTTGAAGTTTGTTTTAAAAAAAGAAAGACTGCATTTATAGATGAGGTACACTATAGTCAGCTCTCCACATAGTACCAGAGAAAGTGGTGACAGGGAGGGGGATTAAACCCGAGAGAATTCTACCAGGGCTTCAGGGAGGAGTGCTGCTGTAGTCTTTTGGCTTTGTATATGCTCAGTGAAGCACTTGCATTGACTCTCATCTGCCAAGACCAACTCTCATCAGAGGACACCTCAGGATTATTGATGGCATTCTGTTCAGCTCGGCTTCACTGGCATATCTGGCTGTGGAAAGGGAAGAGAGTTACAAACTATCGCAACTGACTTATACTCTCAGGGTCTTTCATACCTGCCCCCATCAAATGTAGGGATCTCTGGTGCTTCCTTGCTATCCCGTGACCCCAGTGGCACAACTGATGTAGATGTTAGGAAGCAAAGAAGAAAACACCAAAACCCATTTGTGTTTAGTGAAACTGTTGATATTCTCAGATCCAGAAACTCAAGCTAACACCTGCTAGCTGCCAGTAGAGTGTGTGCACATCTGAAATGCCTGAAGATACTGAAGAGGCATGGGCAAGGAAGGGGATTTGTGATAGGGATGGTAGGTAAAATAACATTTATTGGATTCTTAGCATGCATTTTCTCATTTGAGCCTCACACAATGTGGCAACACAGAAATAATTGCTCTCCTTTTATTGCTGCAGAAACCCAAACTCATTTTCTAGTTCAATGTATCTGGTAGGGCCAGATTGTGAACCAAAATCTGTCTCCTCTAGGTCACTATTACACACAGGAATGACTGTTTTGTTTGTTGATGACCCAGTGGCCTTGGGCAAGCCTCTTTCGCTTTCTTGTCCTCTGTTCTTCTTCTATGAAATGGGGTGATAGATTGGGTAATTCCAAAGTCCTCTCTCAGTCTATAGTCCTCATTTCTGAGAAGGCTGCCCTAGCAGTGCCCTTTCTCACTTCCAGGCTAGAGCCAGGCAGCTGGCACCATTGACAGCCTGAGCTCCAGCCAGTGCAGGTCTTCATCTTGGTGAGCAGGTAGAAACAGGTAGGCAAGGCTTGAAGTACTTAATATTGCTGTTTGAAGCTTAAATTCAAATTATTTGAGTGATTAATCACTCATAGGCAATCAACTTTTTAAAACACAAAAATTAAACTCTCACTTTCAAATCAGTTCTGTTCCTGTTTAGCTATTGCTTTATTTCTTTTTAATGGGTCTGAGAGATTGTGTCAGTGCTGATTTTCATTCAAATGGATGGCTTTGAGGAGATTTTTTAAAGCGTGCCAAAAATCTGTTTGTGCATCTTTCCAAGTTACTAGAATGTAAAGCTAGAATTGTGCTTGTATAAAAGTCATCATGTCTATTTTGGAACATTTTAATGTTTATGAAGACATTCTAAACAACTACCTTTGTCTCAGGTCAAAAGAAGCAAGTGGTGGTAAAAATGAATGTAGCCATAAAGAAGGGCATAGGGACACTTCAGATCTTTGTTATCTGTGGTGTTTTGCTATCTGGAACTGATGATGCTGATTTTCTCTAAATGGTCTCACAAGACCTGAGGTCAGTGGCGTGCCCTCTGTCATCACTTACTCACATCTGAATCTTTATTAAACACAAACTGAAAATAGTACTATGACACCATCATTTCTGAAGACTAAGGCACGCCCAGAAAGACATGGAGCTAGAGAGAATACTTGTCAGCAGTTATGTAAATCTAGAGGAGACAGAAGTATACCCTGGCTGGACATGTACTCAGAGCCTGAACTTAATTACTATGTCTGCTTTCCCTTCTTCACAGTTTATAAACCCACAGGCCCTCACTTCTCACTTTGTAAGATGAGCAAAGTATGGTCATTGCAGTAGACCAACTGTGCTCACTGGGTTCAAATCGCCTGCTTTATGCTTAGAGCTGTGTATCTTTGGACAAATCATTCATCTCCATAGCAAGGACTGTTGTATAGATCAAATGAGAGATGATGTAACAAAGACCAAGCTTATATTTTAAAGGCTTATTTTAGTTTTAATTCTGTATGTGTGCATGTAGGTGCTCACAGAGACCAGAAGAGATTGTTGGATCCCCTAGAGTTAGAGCTGTTGTAAACCATCTGATGTGGGCACTGGGAAATGAACTTGAGTCCTCTGGAAAAGCAGCAAGTGCTTTTACCCATTGAGTTATCTTTCCAAATCCAGCCCTGAGCTTCTTAATCTATCATCAAATACCCTGTTGTAACTCAAGTCAGCAGCAATTCTGGGTGTGTTTTATTGGTTTCACATCTCTACACTGAAGTAATTTGTGGAAAAGGAAGCAATTAGCTAAGCAGGAGGCTACGTGGCCAACTCCAGGTTCCCTAGAACTGTACTCTGAGAAGTGCATCTGGAATGGGGATCAATTGTGTTAGAAAAGTCATATTGTAGACATCTAAGACAAAGACTTACTCCTCACTTGGAGGAAGGGCCCCAAAATAAATTCCTAATTTTTCTCAGAGGAGCTCTGGATCTCTCTCTCTCTCTCTCTCTCTCTCTCTCTCTCTCTCTTGGGGTAAACTATATATAAACTATGATAAAATTTTATCATCTCGGACATTTTTAAGAGGACAGTTGGATAGTGTTAAGTGCATTCATATTGTACAGATGTTACTACCATCTATCTCAGAACTTTGATCATCTCAGCAGAAGCTCTGTGCACATTACATAATAAATACGCAAGTGCTCTGGCTTTACCTAGGAGTTCTTTCAAGATGGAAGGACCTTGTAGACTTCTTGAATATAAGGAGCTGAATTTCAGAAAAGCAGGGTATTTTATGCTCCAGCTTCTTAGCTCTGGGCTGCAAACTGAATGTGAAGGTTTTGAAAATGTTTCTAAGCATTCTTTTATCAATAGTTAATTCAAAATCAAATCCTAATGAATCCAATGCATTTTTCAGTGACACTTCTTTATATCACTGGACACAAATGTCCTGGAGCCTCAGTTCTGACCAGACAACTTATCTTTTGTTTTTTGTTTTTTGGTTTTGTTTTTTGTTTTTTGGTTTTCAAGACAGGGTTTCTCAGTGTATCCTTGACTGTCCTGAACTCCCTCTGTAGACCAAGCTGGCCTGGAACTCACAGAGATCTACCTGCCTTTGCCTCCCAAGTGCTAGGGCTAAAGGCCTGCACCACCATCTCCTGACCTGACCAGACAACTTGTACACATTGCATTGTACATGTCTTCATGGCAAACAAATGCCAATTGAAATGCTGCTTTTATTTCTTATGCTTATGAGTGTTTTGCCTGCATGTATGTCTCTGCACCACATCTGTGCCTGATACTCACTGAAGCCAGAAGAGAGCACTGGATCCACTAACACTATGGTTTCAGACACTTGTGTACCACCATGTGATTGCTCTGAACCTAACCCAAGTTCTCTGCAAGAGCAGCAAGTGCTCTTAACCACTGAGCCATCCTCCAGCCCCAAACAGTGCCAACTAACATTGCCTAAAAGACCTCCTCAGCTGGAGACTACAGTGTAGTATGAATTGCAGTGTTTTTACTTCATGTTTTAGGGTTTCTATTGGTATGATGAGCACCATGTCCGCAAGCAACTTGGAGAGGAGAGGGTTTATTTCATTTTAGAGCTTATAGTCTATCATGAAGGAAAGTCAGTGTAGGAACTTCAGGCAAGTATGCAGAGGAAGGAATTTGAAACAGAGACCATGGAGGAGTGCTGCTTACTAGCTTGCTTTCTATGACTTGTTCAACTTGTGTTTTAATGCAACTCAGGACCACCTGCCTAGGGGTGGCATCACCCCTAATGAGGCAGCTGAGTGCTACCATGTGATTGCTGGGAACCTAATCCACGTCAGGCCCTCTGCAAGAACAGCAATGTGGGCCCTCCCATATCAATCATCAATCAATAAAATGCCTCTTAGGCTTCCCTACAGGTTAATCTAATGGGAGCATTTTCTCAATTGAGATTCTTCTTCCTAGATAACTCTAGCTTGTATTAAGTCAACAAAACCTAACAAACACACTGTACATACATACTTTTCTGCTTTTATAGGAGTATGGGTTAATTACAGAACTCAAAGACATTTGATATTTTCCTATCATCATTCCGTAGCAAGTAAGTATCAAATTTGTGTCTTTGCATTGCATTCTGTTAGACTGCTTGATTTTTAAAAATTGCTGTTTGAGGGGCTGGAGAGATGGCTCAACTGTTAAGAGCACTTACTGTTCCTCCAGAGGACTAGGGTTAGGTTCATAGCACCCACAGGGTGGCTCATACCCACCTGTAACTCTAGTAGGAGGCGCTCTCATTCACTCTTTTGCCTTCCATGGGGCCCTGAATAAGTAAACATGGTACAAATAAACTCACATGGGCACACACCCATACACATAAATAAAAAAATGTATTTAAAATGGTGTTGAGTTTCTGAGTTATAGTTTTAAAAACTGTTGAACTAATTTTGGCTTGGGATTAGAACAGAATTTCCAGTAATTTCTGAAATGTCCCTAAACACACTTTTGGCATTTTGTATTATGCATTTGTACAAAGTAGCATTTTCAACATTGATGACTATAAAGTTGAAAATATTGATCAATTCTGAGAAAATATTGAAGATGTTCTATGCCCAAAGTATCAAATATTTAGCAAAAACTTATTTTTATAAAAAACAAACATGCATATAATCTCAATAGTATATGAATTTGCTTTCATCTTTAATAAGTGGTAAAATTATATGCATACCAAAGAATAGTTTTAAAATAAATTTGTGACTTATTATCAACAAAAGTTTGATTTGTATAACTAGGTTATAAACACCTGGAGATGTATAACAATTTCTATGGGAATAGGGGGAAATAGGGGTGACAAGCAGGAAAACATTTAAGCAGCCTTGTTCTAAATCACCCAGTAAGCTGCAGATCCATTTAAGACTGAGAGCTAGGGCTTTCTTAGCTCAACTCTCTTGCTTGCACACTTGCAAGGTTATACCCTGAAGTAATTTACAGACAGATGCACTGAATGTTCTTAAACACAGTCATTCACATTTCTTCACATTTTTTGTTTTGATAATAAATTTTCCTTGAAATTGTACTATGTGCTACCTTCTAAAACCCCTTGAATTCCTCAAGCATCCAGCACCCTTTCACTATATTGGTTGCATGACATTTTAATGGTTGCTGTCCCGGAACACACCATGTAGACCAGGCTGGCCTGGAACTCACAGAGATCTGCCTGCCTCTGCCTCCCTCCCAAGTGCTGGGATTAAAGATATGTGCCACCATGCCTGGATCTAATGGTTTTAGTTTTAAAAGGTTTTACCTATAAAAATATTACTATCATTATGGACTATTGGCCCAATGTTATGTATGTTCAGTCTTCGAGCAACTCCAGCATACAGGTAATTTTTTTTTACTCTAGTTTGACACATAAAGAAATGGGCTGCTGGGCAGTGGTGGCGCACACCCTTAATGCCAACACTTGGGATGCAGAGGCAGGTGGATCACTGTGAGTTTGAGGCCACCCTGGTCTCCAGAGCGAGCTCTAGGACAGCCTCCAAAGCAATACAGAGAAAGAGAAACCCTGTCTTGAAAAACAGAAAGAAAGAAAAAGAAAGAAAAGAGGGCTCATGAAGTCTAAGTTATATACAAGTTCATATATATATATATATATACATATAAGTAATAGAACTGGATTCAAAGCCAAATGTACTTGACTAAAAACTCCTAGCACTTTCTTGGGCTCCATGCTATCCTCTCTTTAACAGACTGTAAACACAGTGTAGCAGTTCAACAGTAGACTTAGTCTAAGGTTCTTATATTCCATCCTTGGGCAATGGCTTTTCCATGCCCATCTTCACCTTATAAAAACCTGCCCATGCCTCGAAATTTACTTCATCTTCCACTTCTTTTCATGATACCTATTCATTAAGTGCTTACCATGTCCCCATGTACTGTTGCAAGTACTTCACACTGAATTATCTCATTCAATCCTCACAACATCCCTAAGGCTGGTACTGTTACACTCAACTTACAGATGAGGAAATGGAAGATTGTAGAAAATAATTAACTTTAATACAGATTAAAACAGGTAGAAAGAGAGAGAACATAGGAGAGGACAGGGAGGGAAGGAGGGAGGAAGGGAGAGAGAGAGAGAGAGAGAGAGAGACTTGTATGTGCTGTCTCACTCCTGGAAAGCTGAAACACAGTGTATGAGGTTTGTGTGCTGCCCATCTGGCTGACTTCTACCCTGCTAGATATGACTAAAATTACTTTTTAATTGAACAGTCATAGGCATTGCTGAGTCAGGTCTACCTAGTCAAAATAGGATTTTTAAAAGTTTGTATTGGAAAAGAAATTTGAGTCTTGCTGTAATTTTCAAATATTTTCTATTCCTGAGTGTTTTCCAAAATGTTGGCTAGAAACCCCAGTAATCACTGTAAAGCATATGTTCTCAGAAAAGGATTTGGGGGGAGAGTTTGGGGGAGGGGATCAAATCAAATGCCTTTTGCCTTTGGAAACACTGAAAGCACTGCTGGCTTAGGAGTCTCTATAAAGTCTATATAGAGGAGAACACTATGGGGCTTTTTCCTTCATTGTTTTGTATTGATTTTCCAGACGCTTTAGTGTTAAACCATGCCAGAAGTGTGGAGAGATGAATCACTATTATCCAAAGGCCGCCAGCCTCTTTTCCTTCTGACAGAAGGATAATTCCACGTGGATCAAATAAATACAGATGTGTAGTAATTAGTTCTATTCCCAGCGAGCCTATTTCCAACACACTAAAGATGTGAGCGATTATGGAGCCTCACCCCAACAGCTTTTATCAATTTAAACCACCAGACAACAGGATAGGTCATAACCCAGCCTGCTATTAATAATGTATTTATTATGTACAACATTACAAATTGGGGTAGGGACTAGAAAAAGATACCTTTTAAGAGGGGTGATTTGATTGTCCTCCAGAAGCATCACATGTGCCTGGCCACTCACCTGATGTACAGTCCCAAGGCAATCAAAAGAATCAAAAATCTCATCCAAGGAAGAGAGGCCTACATCGTGGGCGGGCTCCTCCACAGAGACGACTTAGCTGTGGCTGATATGCTGAATGTACCCATCCTGGGCTCAGAGCCTGAGCTGGTTCACCTTTACAGTGCCAAGTCTGGAAGTAAACGGATCTTTGACAGTGCTGATGTGCCAATGCCTCCTAGCATATATGACATCTATACTTACCAGCAGGTATGTAGGGTGGCTCTGTTCAGATGTCTTCTAGCCCCTTGACGCTGTACAGCTTTGGGTAATCTGCTTCCAGCCCTGCCCAGTGAAGACTGTGTGAATGTTTGAGTTGCTCTGAAGAGATCTACATTATGCCTTCGTGTTTGGTTTGTGTTTGTTTGTTTTCCATACTGTGAACTGAACTCAAGGCTTCTCACATGGCAGGTAAGTACTATGAGGTTTTATCTTCAGCTCTCTTTTAACTTTTTGAGACAGAGTTTTACTAAGTTATGCAGGCTGGCCTTGAACTTGTGGTTCCCAAGAATCTATGATTACATGTCTGAACTATCAGGCCTGGAGGCCTTATTATAGAAATTACTAGAATTTTCAATAGGTTTACCTATTGGGTTAAGTTACTAAACTTAACTGTGCTGTTAAAATTAATCATTGGAACTAATCTGTCAGTATTTAATGCCTTGATATCTATTAGTTCATTGTTTCATTTGCTATCCAGTCATTTAATAGGACCCTAAGAACACAAGATTCTGTTTTGGCAAAGAAGTGGGTTTGGAAGTTTTTGAGAGTGCTTGGTGAGACTGCAGAGAACTTTAATACACCATTCCTTGACTCTACAAAGAGTAAGGGACCTAGCCCAGAAACAGGAAGTAAACTGACCTCAGGAATAAAACTACTTCCGATTTTCCCTTGGTTTACCCAGTCTGTGGCTCTACACTCCTCCATTCCTCTAGAAATGTTACTCCAGCGTTTATTCTCCCATTTAAATGCCATATGTTTACATAATAAAGAAAATTAAAAGACAAACTGCTGGCTGTTAATATTTCCAAACCTCTATTTCTGAATTTTTGTTGACCAGTTCTCGGAGCCAATCACAAATTATCTCTTTTCCCTTCTTCTTGGAAAATTAAGGAACCATGAGCATTGAGGTGGTGAATAAGGGTCAGGTTTGGGGATCTCCTTCTACTCTCAGTTGCTTGGTCAGGATGCTTCTCACAGTGTAGCCACTGAGAACAAAATGAAGCCTCCAAGCAAATCACACTTTAGAAAGACTGTTTGGAGGACACCAAATTCATTGAGCTGCCCTAAAGTGTTTGAGTCTTGCTATAGAGAATTCCTGGTCAACAGCTGGCTTATAGCAGAAACATAGTCTGGGATTTTAGTTGAAGAGTGGTGGACAGACTTCCACTGTCATTAACTTCCCCTGGAATTTGAAGGTTTCAAGGTTGATTGCTTGATTCTGCTTCCTAATAGAATGATTTTTCTGACAAACTTAATGTGGGAGAAATAGATTTTTGAATGACACAATTGAATGCACATACTACACTAAACAATCTTCATGTCTTTAAAATGCATGTGTAAAATTTGTATCGAGTCTTAGTTTCATCTTCATTGAGAATAACACAGGCAATCTATGCTCTGAAATATTTTTAGAACTTTATACATTAATTGTGGTTAAAGTTGTGGGCATATTTAATACAATACAAACTCTGTCTGGTTCTAGTATTCAGAAGTAGAACTAAAACCCTTCTCATAGACCCTCAGATTTGACATATAATACATATCAATAGTGTAGCAGTAAGCCAAGTTGTATCTGAGTTCTATGCTTGTTCGGAAGATACACATCTGAGGTCAGCAATAACTGAAGTACCCCATTGAGGCTTTTCCAGATAGTAATGGCTCTACCTAATCAATCTGAGTGTATCAGTATTTTAAATCTGCAGATGGCGATGAATCAATCCTGACTTTTTATCGACATGCATTGCAAATTTAAAGTGGGTGAAAGCTGTGATTATTTTAACTTAGGTTAATAAGTATTCTTGGGTCTTAGTTGGAATTTTACAGTGGTAATTTTTCTGCTTCTGCTCTTCACCAATATAAATGAATCACAACTAAAGACATATTACATTTTAAAAAAGCAGATTCAAACAGAAAATGATGAATGTTTGGAAATAGCAGAAAGTCATGTGGTTTATGACTGAGTTTTTTAATCTAGCATAAGCACAGTGAGCATTTCCTGTTTTGATCCATAAAATAACCATGTAAGTCCTTTTCTGGCATGTGTTCTTTGTGAAATATTGACAGCTTTGGTTAAATAATCAAAAATGGCAATGCTATTTTAAAGCACTGTTCAATTTTCACTTAAAGATAACACATAATTCTTCCAGTGGTGTAGTCTTTACAATACTATTGATCGTTTTCATTACCGTAGGGATCCTGCCACAGGCACCCATTTATAGGACTTTCAGAAGCAACAAATAATAGGATTTGGAGGAAACACATACTAATTCTGTTAGTATTTGAAGCTTCCAAATATACAATATATCTAAATACACAATTTTTAAAGGCTATGCTGGAACACATTTTCTTAAACTAGCAAAATAATTTTTTAGGCAATATTAAGAGACTAAACACTTCTACTTCTATAACTTATGATCACAGTACACACAAATCACAGCACAATATGATTAATATAGAACATAGCTAATTGGAGGAAGAAGGGAGGCAACCTTGGAAGACACAGTGGGAACCTCCTTTGGCTGTGCTCATAGCCATATGGTACGTAGACCACAGCACTTATTTAAACATCCAAATTATCAATAAATACTACTTGATAATTAGAGTGCTGAGAATTTCATTTTCAACTTTATTGAGTAGCCTATAGTTGCCTGAGCTTTCTGGAATCCCCAAGTGTGGCTATCTTGATATCTCTTCCACACTGCCATGTCATGTAGCATCCCCAAAACCATTTGCTGAATAGACACAATTCAGGATAACATATTGTAGGTACCTTTAAAAAAAAAAACACTTTAATTTTGCAGTTTCAGATCTCAGCAGAACCATTAGTCTTCAGTGCTTTCAAACTCTTTAGTTAAAAAGTAAAAATCTATTTGGTAGTCAAAGAATAGATGTTCTACATAATTTTATGTCAACTTGACACAAGCTATAATCATCTGAGTGGAGGCAATTCAATTGAGAAAATATCTCCGTAAGACTGGGCTGGAAGACACACCACTGGAAGACACACCACTGGAAGAATTATGTGTTATCTTAGGCATATTCTTAATTAGTGATTGATGGGAGAGGGCCCAGCCCATTGTGGGTGGGGCCACCCTGTGCTGGCAGTCCTGGATTCTGTAAGAAATCAGATTGAGAAAACCATAAGGAACAAGCCATGGGTAGGATCCTCCATGGTCTCTGCATCAGTTCCTGCCCTGTGTGAGTTCCTATCCTGACTTCCTTCAATGATAGACATTGATGTGGAAGTGTAAGCAGAACCCTTTTCTCCCCAGGTTGTTTTGGTCATGGTGTTTCATCACACCAATGATAACGCTAACTAAGACAATAGAGAATAAGAATATGACTGTCAAGTATAGGACAGCACAGCCAAGAATAGCATGGGTAGATACAGGACACACAATGCTTGGTGTGCAGACAACAAAGTCATTTTGTGCTCTAATGAGCTGGTTTTCTTCAAAGCTGTAATAGACTAGAGAGACTAGCTAGAGAGACTAAAGAGACTCTTTCTGATTCAAATGCAACACAAACGACTTACTGACTTGGAAGCAAGTTGGTTCTCGGGCTGCTCCTCTGACCTGTTTCTACACTTCACCCTTCTCCAGCTATCTGCAGGCTTAGAATACACAGCCCCATAAAGGGAGAATGAGTGTAGGGTTTGGAGTCAAAGCAATCCAAGAGAAGCCTTGCTCTGCCACTCAGTGCTGTATGATCATGGACAAGTCACTTAAATTAAATGGAATCACTAATGGTGCCTTCATCATAGGTTATTATATTAATTTGGAAACTCATGTAGAGAATACATGCGGCAAGGGCTGGTTCCTACTGAGTGTTCAGTAATGTTAGTCATTATTGTTCTTACTATCATTTTGGAATTAAAGCGTGGATTTGGATCCCTTAAGATTTCATCTATTTAAGCCCAGTTATTGAGAGAGTATTTGTTTCATATCAAATGCAGGGCAGCTGACTTTCCAGGAAGACTGTTTCTACAAGTGGTTTTTGTTGTTAAGTTTTTATTTCTTTTTAAATTCTAAAAATATAATCTTTTTTCTAACATAATATTTTTCTTGATTTTTTTTTAGAATTTCACATAATGTACCCTGACCACCTTCACTTCCCAGTTCTCCCAGGTCCACTCTCCCCATTGTGATATGCAAGTGTTTTATCTCAGTTATCTGTCTTTCCATAATATATTCATTTATGTCACAAATAAAGGCAATTTAGCCAACTGGCCAGATAAATGTGTGTTAGTGAGGAAAAAAATATCTTATACATTACAGTATTTATTTTAGGTTACAGTGTTTAAAAGCTCAACAAAGTTTTCAGGATTATGTTTTTTGTAGTCTTGACATTATTAAAAAAATCATTTGAAGAATCAATAAGGAAACACCTAAGCTGCTGAGAAAGAAAGGCAACAACACCAGGGTCCTATTACAGACGCTTAAAGGTTCTTTTGGTTTTTTCCTCACAAGTCAACATTATAATGTTTTTTTTTTAATTTCTCACAAATACAACTGCATTTTAAATATGACTGTTATACCATTGGCTAGTGATTTCTTTATCTCATATATCACTTAAAATTCCTTGAATTTGTTCTAATGAGTCAAAGGGAACCTAATAAACAGACTATGTAAAGATGCACTCAAAGTTGCTATGACAGAAAGGAAATGCATTTTACTGTTGTTCTGTACCTTTGCCCCACAGATGATAGAACAATTGAGCCAGTTGGTGACTGATCACCTACGAATCCGACGCTGGGTCTTTAAAATGAACACAGAATTTGGAGGAAATGGGACAGCATTTTGTGACATCCCTTCCTACCTAAAGTGCTACAAGTGGGTGCTAAAGGAGAGTGACAGATATGGCCATGAAGACTGGAAAAAGAAGTGGGCGCAAGTGAGTGTTCAGTGGTGACTTATGCCACAGAGCTGCGGACAGTTAGGAGATAAGATTCTTTCTCCCAGACTCAGCTCTGTCACCTATCAGCAGAGCCTTTCTGGGGCCTCAGCCCTAGTGTACAACATGAACAGACTTATTGGGTCATTTAAATGTCCATTTGGGGGGCCCAAAACATCTTTTTCACACCTTCAAACTGAATATGATACCTAAAAAATGACTAAAAAGCCATATTCAGGTAGCATTGCAAATCTCAGCATCTGCCCTGAACAGATCCTGTGCGTCTGCCGATTTTAAGTGAGCTGTGTTTTATTATGAGGAGTTCTACTAGCAAATGGTGGCCACTGTAAGTAATGTAAAAGAACGTTCTATCAGAAGCCATGTTTTTGAAGACTCTCCAAAGAAACTGTGTAACTACTAGTCCCTGTGAGATACTGAGAAAATAGACCCCAGAAGAAAACTTCCAGCAAAAGCTGAGTAGTAGGTTCAGGGTCTCAGCTATTAGTGGAAGTATGTAAACCTTTCCACATACGCGGGTGAAATGAATTATACAAACTCAGTCTGTTCCAATTTTGCTTAATAGTTGTACATGGTTTATGTTTAACCTGATCTCTGAACACTGTCCCTCTTTGTATCCTTACCTCCAGCTTCTGTTTATCACACCACCTGACCTACTAGAAAAAAGAAAATTGACAGGCAAAGTCCTGGTCCCTTTCCCCCAGCATGCCTAGTGGCGGGCCTTGCAGTGATTTGCATCTGCTTTGCGCATCCCACTACAGAAGTCTATGAATCAAGATACAAGTGATAGAAAGGAAGGGGCACACTGGTGGGAACCACATTATTCCTGGGCAAGTGAAATGATGAATAAATCTAGAGAACAGTCAGGAGGGAGAGTTCCCTTTGACAAATGGGTCGGTTCTCCCCATGATCTATTCGGGGCTTTCTTCCCCCTCCAACAGTGAACGGACTAAATGCAGTACCTGTCATAGCTCGCTCTTTACATATTATTTAAAGGATACCAAAGTGAATTACTCTTCTAGAAAAAAAAAATAAAGCAAAGAAAATGTATTTAATTTTGAGGCCAGTGGAGGTTTCTCTTATGTTCTCTTTGAACTGGGTTTTATCTTCTTGAAGCAAAACTGTTGAGTTTAAACCATGAAAAAGTCTAGCACTTTTAAAGAATTGAAATACTAGTATGTATAGTGTCTACTGGCCTCAGCATTTCAAACCAATAATGTTTTAAAGAGTTCCCCTGACATTAGACTATGAACTGTTTGACTTTTGAGTTTTAAAAATATTTACACTACTGACATTTGGCTGAATTGTGGTTAGAAACCTCACTGTAGATTATTTAATTTCAATTATTTTAAACTATGCCATTTAAAATTGTTACCAAATACATTTGGTACTGTTGTTAATGTTATTAAATTTGAAACTCTTAAATAATTAACGGTCTATTTAAATCATTTAAAAAAAACTTAAGAGGGAGAGATAATTATTCAGAAACCCTGTTATAATGCAGGGCTCATACTTAGCTATAAAGCATGAGAAGCGAAAGCTGAAAATGAAAGTAAAGCTCCTGTGAGCTCCCTTCCCTCTTGCAGGGACTGATGGCAGCTTATGCCCTCAAAGGGAAACTCTCCTCAGAGTGGAGGTGAGCTGCAGGTACCTATTGAGAATTTAGGACTGACATCTAGCTTTGTTCTAGACGACCATTGTAACGGTGCACATTTAGACACCAAAGCATTACTTTACGAGCACAGGCGTGTTTTAATGTCCTATTACAGTCTGCAGACCTGTTCCTTTTGATAATGAAGATGTTGTGTCATCAAGCCTCGCCTGGCACATACAAACATATGCTGGCAGGTTATTAAAAATTTCAGCTTCTTGATGAAAGACTATCCTGCAGGCTAAGAGTCCAGAGAAAGACTCCATTCTGGGAGAATTATTAGAAATGAGAATATGACTGTAAGCACTAAATTATGTTAATACTTACAAATAGCATCATTTGCATAGCAGTTTGTGACACGATGCCATGATTTCTTTATTAGTATGTCGTAGGCGACAGATGAAAGCAGTGCTGTTTATGGGGTGGGAGCTACTTTGGAGTCTTATGCAGACACTAGTCTTAGAGGTAGGTAGGATTCGGCGTAGACATAGATATATAACGATGATCACCTCTTTTTCCACTCTGATGTGAACTGAGCTTTGGCCGGTTGCAGTTGAGACTTGGGACAAAGTCACAGGAGTCATCAGATGCTAAAAAGCCATAGTCACCTTTGAAATTTTCATTATCAAGATGTAGGAACCCCTGGAAAAGCAGAAAGGCCACACTCGAAGCAAAACATGAATTTTTGTGTTTTCTTGGAGACTGGTTACAAGCCTCTGCTTGTCATCCTATTGGATAATGGAACCAGCTTCCCTTGCTCCACACACTGGATCCCAGTAAGCTCAGTTGTGGAGTACACAGTGCTTGCTAAGGTTTTTGAATCCACTTGCACAAATACAAGATTCCTTGCTTCTGAGTCAGGGTATTTGTTTCAGTTAGTAAGAATGAAGACTTAAATAAAGGCAAACTTGTAGGAGAGAAGCCTTCCTGACATATTCCCCTGACACAGTCTGGGAAAACCTAGATCTGCTTCTTTCTGTGCTACCATCTTTCTTGTGGCTGTTTTCTATTTTGTTAAGGGGTAAATCTTCCCTCTCTCAATTCTGAGACGCTATGGTGATAGTGATGTCACGGGTGATAGTACTCTGAGGCAGGAGCTTTCTGTGGAGCAGTCCCTCTGGGTAAAGAGTGAAACTGGATTCTTTTCAGGTTTTTCTGTACATCCCTTCGTTGGACCTCCACTGTCCTGCAGAGTCTGGGATATGGATCTTGGCATTGCTATTTTACCGCTTAATGGGAGAAAGGAAACTGACCTGGCTCTTGAACAGTGCTAATACACGTTGTTATTTGGCCTTTTGTAGGAACAGCATGTTTTTTAGAGATGTAATTTTTTAATTTGATGTATATGGGTGTTTGGCCTGCGTGTATCCCTGTGTACCGTATGTACCTGGTGTCTGTGGAAGGCAGAAGAGGGAACCCTGGAACTGGAATCACAGTTTTTAGCCACCGTGTGGGTTCTGAGAACCAAACTGGTCCTCCGAGAGAGTAGTGAGGGCTCTTAGCCACTTCTCTAGCCAGCAAAAACAGTTTTTTTTTTTTTAACCTTTCCTTGTACACTACTTTGTTTTACTGTGTTAGAGTGTTAGACATTTAGTATTAATTTAAGCATCACCCAAAGGGAAGATCCTAACCCAGGGTACCCAAACTTAGAAAAGCAAAATAAACTATAATTATTATTTCATCTTCTTAGAGAACTAAGTCAGTGAGCAAACCATTACAGAGGAGACCGGCCCACCACAATGAGCTCAGAACAACTCCCACTGCCTCTGTGAAGCCTTGCAAGCAGTAATGGGAACCACCTGCAGGTGACTGACCTAGGTGCCTCATGTAGAACATGGTTTGGCTTTATTAGGTGAGCTCAAAAGCCACTGACTTGCCACCACAGAATGTTCAGGGAGGTTAAAATGTAGTAGAACAATATTAAAGATATGTCTAACCAAGTAAGTGTAAAATCACCTTTCCCATTGCTCTCATTTTCCTGAATTAATTCTCAAATGTGTATCATCTCTCATTGCCACAATAATTGTAAATATGCTAATTAAACATAGGATCCTAGCCATTTACCCTGTTTATTCATATTCATCACAATTAATAGCTCCATGTTGCTCCATTTTATTAATTCTAATATGTTAAGCCATTCACCTATCTGAAAACTTAAGCTCTTCTCTGTTTTTTGTTCTGTTTTGCTTTCAAATTGTGGACCAGAAAAAAGCTTTGTTTTTCTATGTACCCAAAAACAAAAGCTTCTGTTACTTCTTTTCGAGGAGAAAGAGCCATGAGGAGAATGCTGTATATGAAGCAAGAGAGCCCTGGCCCCTGTTGTACATGCCTACTTATAAGAAGGTGCTAACGGCTTCCAAAACTGCTAGCAGAGTGCACAGAACAAGGAGCTGAGTGCACCTAGAAAACACTTCCTTAAATTCCTAGAGAAACACCTCCCTACTCCCAGCATTAGGTCTGGCTTTTCGGGGCTCATGCCGGTGCTGCTGCTCTGGCAGATTTTCTACTTTCCACAGACTTTCTTAAAGCACAGATGTCCCCAAACCACAGTCACTACTCTAGAGTGCTTCCCTTTTCCACAAGGCAGTAAACTGGGAGGTGAGGAGAGCTGTCAGTATCCTCACCTCAGCTGCAGAAGGGAGGGGCCTGCTCAGGAGTCCCTGGAAAACCCAGCTGTCTCACCACATGTATACCTGTTAATGTGCATAGTTGACAAAAGAGAATTTTATATATCACCTTTTTCCCAGTCATGGGGATATACACCTTGGTGACTTTCTCCATTTAATACATTTTCATAGTCATTTGAGTCCACCTATAGATTATCAAAAAGTGTTGAATAGCCTACCTTCACAATCAGATGCAGCACTAAAAACATGATGAGCAATTCAAATCATTGTTTTTCTTTTTCTCCACATCCTCTCCAGCATAGATTGTCATTGGTGTTTTTTATTTTAGCCATTCTGGCCGGTGTAAGATGGTATCTCAGAGTTGTTTTGAGTTGTATTTCTCTGATGGTCAAGGATTTTGAGCACTTTCTTAAGTGTCTTTCAGCCATTTCAGATTCCTCTGTTGAGAATTCTCTATTTAGTTCTGCACCCCACTTTTTAATTTCATTGTTTGTTGTTTTGGTGGCTGGCTTCTTGAGTTCCTTGTATATTTTGGAAATGAGCCCTCTATCAGATGTGGGGTTGGTGAAGATCTTTTCCCATTCTGTGGGCTGACATTTTTGTCTTACTGACTGTGTCCTTTGCCTTACAGAAGCTTCTCAAATCATTTTTTTTTACAAGCCACCAAAATTTTCGGTTGTACTTTTACTTATTGTTTGGACATA